AAGTAGATCTATAAACATATGAAAATCTTGAAAATGGACGGTGTAGATAATATGTTGTAAAATGCACTATTTCTGAGACTTAAAATATTTTTATTTTTCATGGTCATACATCTCGATGTCGAGATGATCAATCAAAGTGTTTTTCAACATTAAAACAAACTTTTTCGATGGATTTTTTAGGTGCATCCGTAGCTGTAGAGGTAAGGTTGCAACCTTATATAAACTTTTTCCTTAATTTATTGGGGCTTTTGTGTGTGTGAATGCATATCAGTGTAAAATATTTTATGGGAATGTGTACAATGAGACCATTTACCTTCGGTACGAGGAGGTTACAATTACTTATAACCATCCAATGTGAAATCTGATAGCTTGAGTGTCACAAAGTTCGAGAAAATTTCTTTCGAAGTTTGAGCTTAGTCAATGGAATAAATGCCGCCACCCAATTTTTCATCCAATAGTCAAAATTAGTTGTGATCACCTTGTACCAAAGATAAATGGTTTCATTGTATACTTTTCCGTATTTTATTGCAATAACACCCGAGGTTTGTCCCAGTTGAAATTAGTGTACATGGGTTAACTTATCTGTGCACATGTAAGTTGCAAGAATGTTTATTTTAACTTTTTCCTGTCGCATGTGAAGTTAAAGCTTTATCAGATTATCATTGTTTCAGTAGTCCAACAGTAAGACTGGATCTTGGGACTGTTGCGATCATCAACACCCTAGTCATCAAGCCTAGCCTGAACCCTGCATGTCACATTATCTTTTGGGAAATTTCTGTTGTTAGTGTAAGTAAAGAAACGGATGATGCTGTGAAATTAGATAATGTGACAAATGTGATAGTTGCAGTTGATCATTTTAACTATTAGAGGATATGGGAACAGGAGTGGTTGCAAATTTGTAAGAACATATGAAAGAAGACTTCCCACATTGTTTCTCTTCCACAAGAATATTTCATGTGCTTTTCTGTGGTATATTCTGCAGAATATTCGCCTCACAGCTACTTTTGCAGCATTCAAGGAGGAGGTCTTTGGAGTCTAGTTCTTCTGATTCATCTTCAGAATCCTCAAGCAGTAGTGAGGATGAGAGAGAAGTCAGGAGAGAGAAGTACAGGTCCAAGAGATCGAGGAGGGACAAGAAGCACAAGTCGAGAAGAAAGCATTCAAGTAGTGAGAGCGCGGAGGAGGATGGTCCTTTGCCCCTCTCGAGATTTTTCGGTAGTGCCAAGGAACGAGTCCTCTGAGCACCTCTGTATTTTTTTTCTTCTAGATGGATATGGCTCTTCATGACATATTTGGGTTTGGCTTTGAGGTTTTCATATGATCTTCATGAGACAGTGTATGCCTACCTGCGCGTTATTTCCCTCTCTAACTTGGTTGGTTAATAGCCTCATCCCAAGATTGTGAATTTTCTTAAAGAGCGATGGGTGCACGAGGAAATGGAAATGGTCTACCGATCCAAAAAGATGGGATTTCTCGTGTTTCATTTTGTTTAACAAGGCATTGTACATTCGGATGGGTTTTGTGGTCACCAGTGGTTGGTGTTTCGTGTCTAGGTTTTTTGTTCCTAAAGTTCAGGGGTGTTTATTATATGAGCTCTCTCTCTCTCTCACCGAATAGCGGGCTCGAATGGGGGGGACTGTATGCTTGCCGGAGCAATAATCTTCGGGTGATTTTTTTTTTTTTTGTGTTTATCTACAAATTATGCGATTGTGGTTAGATGGTTTGGACTTTGGAGTGAACTGACAACTTCAACTTTATTAAATAGGTACAAATTATAGCTTAGATAAGAAAATGTGGCACACTGTTTCTGACTCACTCTAAGCTATTTGATCAAAGGTCATGTTGGTTTAAAAAAGTACTTAGGTAGGCAAATAGATTTTAACCTCTGTTTGAAAATCAATTTATAGCCATGAGAAGAAAATTCCTATATAGTCGTGGCGTTGCTACTATTCAATTGCACAATTCTAGGAATATAACCATGCATATTGGCGGGGGAAAAATTTATATAGAGCCGAGGCTCTAAACCATCAAATTAGATCCTACTTCAAACTTCAAAAATTTCACTGCAAGAGGTTGTTTTGATGCCCAAATAACCTCAAATTGATCATCTTGATATCATGATGCATGGATATGATAAAAAAATGGATTTCAAGTTTTGAAAATAGCGTATTTTGAAACGTATTTTTGGAATGTCAATTTTCAATATTTTTAAAGATTTTTCGATCTGTACTATTTTTGAAGCTTTGAATTTTATAAATTAAGATAAAAATATATTTTAAGGCTATCAAAAAGATTTCTAGTATTAAAATTGTATTTTTCGATACTATTTGAAAGTAGGCTCTAATTTGATTGTTTAGAGCTTAAGCTCTATATAAATTGCATCCGGCTATTGGCAAAATACCACTGATGGTTGGACTAATTATTCACTTAAAAGATGTGTCCAATCGTTGGATGGCAATGCAGATTTAGTGCATATTAGTTTCAAATAGTCATCTGGAAAGTATAAAATAAAAATTAAAAAGTGTATTATAGGTGGGGATTTAACAAAGGGTGATCTAAGCAATCAAATTAGAACCTACCTTCCAATAGTGTCAAGAAATATGATTTCAATATTAGAAAGTTTTGTGATAGCTTTAAATTATATTTTTATTTCTAGTTATAAAATTTAAAGTTTAAAAAATAGTGTAGATCGAACGGATCTATATATATATATATATATATTTCCGAGAGGAGGTTTTACGGTCTAAGACCCATACATCCCAAAAATGGTTCGATCCAAATTGATTTCCATCCATACTAAAAATCTAGGTCAGAAATTGTTAGGTTTTAAAACACTAATTTTATCAATTATAATTAAATAAAAAAAAGAAAAAGCCTTTCTTCCCCCCGACCGCAAAATCTTCAGTATTGTTATAGGTTACCCTGGCAATATAAGAGCATCTATTTTCAAGACTGCTCGTAAGGCCCAGTAAATATGAGACTCTCATATGTCTTCTAGGACATCCAAACAGGACCTTAACCTCTTCCATTGCCTTTTCCATATCCATTCGTTCTTCAAAAATGATCAACAAGTAAATATATTTCAAAGGCAATTCATGGTGTGCATGAATTGAATAATATCCTTAATTCGTAATCTTTTCGAATTGTTCTATTATGATGTGGAAAATATTGGGTGAGTCAGCTAACTTATGAATCACCGGGGGAATTTAGAACATAAAACACACCCTGAATGACTACAATTCTTTTTTGATCTTTATGGTACCAAAAATCGCCTAAGATCGATGAATTCAAAACTCCAAAAACAACAAACATCTGATCCATTTGAAGTACTAGATTGAATGGTCCAAAAAATATGTACAAAATAAACCATTTTTAAGGATCAAGATCCAATTTTCTTTAATATCCGTGATCCTGATGGTCTAGATGATAGACTGGATCCAAGATGGATACTGGGATAATGGACTTACAACAGGTGCTGTGTTCCCAATGTACCTAAACCCTATTTTTCCAATATTACCTTGAGGCTCTCTCTCTCTCTCTCTTTCTCTATCTCTCTCTCTCTCAATGTAGTCCTTAGTATATCAAGCATTTGCATGGGCTAGGCTAGTTTTAATACTCGAATTTCTTTATGATATTCAAATAGTCGTTATCATCATAACCTTTTCACAATTAATTGGGATTGGCTACACGAATCTTGGTTCATCATTCTGTTCTATTAAGAGTCATACTTCAGTGAGAAAAATAGTGACATATATATATAATGAATTTCATGGAGAACTACAAATTTACAAGCCACCCCACATGTGCACGCAAAGATGTGCAACAGCCTCGTTTCAAGTTAATAACAAGTAAACATAAGAAAATATAAACATACACCAATAAGAAGTAAAATGGGTAAAAACAAATCTTGAAAAACAATGATAAAGGCAACAGTACCACCAAAACACCAAAATCCAAGAATAAAATTAAGATATAGATAATTCAAACAATTGCAGCAACAGAATCTCAACAGTCATACGCAGATTCTCAAACAAGAGAGGGTGTTCGAAGAATTGCTTCTGAACCATCAAACTTGGGACTCTATACCGGCACTGTGATCACATCATTGCAACATAATGAATATTAAAATGCTTCTCTACAAAATTTTAGCGGAGAGAACAAAAATCGTTTGTTGATTGTTACAATGAGCAGTACTTCAAAATCCACAACCCTGCATTGATGCTTAGCTGTGACAAAGCATTCAGTCTGTTTCTAGTGACGGTTGTTTCTACTTTTCCAAAACTACTTCCAACTTCTTGCACATTAGTGACTACCATTCACCAATTCAGTTCCATAAGCATATACTAACCTTGATCAGCCTACAATGCCAGGGAATAGAAAAAAAAAAACCGGTATGAGCCTAAGTTAATATCACAGTGGAATGGTAACAGATGCAAAGAAAAAACATGAGGTGCAACAATTACGAGATTAATGACTTCTGTATCTTAAACAAGAGTTCCTTGCAATCGTGCTAGTAAAATGTCCTCTTTCAGAACTCTTTTAAGAGAGCATTTAAACAACACGTGCAAACACATTTGTAGATATATATATATATAAATGAATGAGTATACAGAATGAGCGTGCATATACAAATGCAGACACATGTGGGTTTTGTGTATATTCTTACACAAATATCAAACATCTGACTTTGCACATGCCTATAAACGGATGATATTAACACTATAAACACTGCATACACCATGAACTGTGCATATACACCTGCTATAAAAAAAGAAAAAATTATACAAGGTTGCAATCTTAAAATGTAGAATTAAGATGCACCTTAGAAATCCATTGAAAAAAGTTGTTTTGATGTTGGGAAATCATCTAATTGATCATCTCGATATCAAGATGTATGAATATGGAAAAAGAAAAAAAAAGATTGATTCCCAAAAATAGTGCATCTTGCAACAAATTATCTGTACCTTCCAATTTCATGATTTTCATGTGTTTATAGATCTACTTGATTTTAACCAATTTTTGGAGTCTGAAATTTTATAATCAGTTATGAAAACGGATTCTTAGCCCATGCTAAAAAAATTTAACACCAAAATTATATCGTATAATAAGATTTGGAGGTGCGCCTTATATTGATTGTTTAAAGTGGCAACCTTATGTAAACCACACATAAATAAAATACATACACTGGTATACAAATAATCCATACACTCTTTATGCACACAAGGTGTATGTATGCATTCGCAAGACTATGTGTAGCATGTATCTATTGACGTAGGAAAATATAGCATATACACATTTGTATAAATGTTATAATAGTCAGGCATAAGTACCTGCATAAGAGCCCGAGAGGGTCTCCACGGCCATCACAATCTATTTCAAAAGCTCATTCTCACCTCTCAGCCATGACCCTGAGGAGGCTGAGGATGTCAATTGTTCCGTTTCTTCAGATGCCATGACAGCAGTCAGAATGACTTGAATGACTTTCTCATAAGAAGAAATCTGTCAGGCAGTCTCAGAGCTGGTGCAGGATAATGTGCCTAGCCCTAATGGGCTTTCGATGGCCCTTGCCAAAAAAATTTGGGACTCTTTAGCCCCTGATAGGTTTGCTTTATTCGCAGACTTTTTCATGGGGCCACAAGAGATTGGGGGTTGGACGTCACTTTCATCAACCTTATACCTAACCTAAGGTGGAGGTGGTTAAACAGTTGAAGGACTTTAGGCCAATAAGCTTGTTGAACAGAACTTACCAAATATTGGCCAAGGTCTTGGCTTCTCGTCTGAGAGAGCTTTGAAATATGTCATCTCCCTCCCAAGGGGTTTTATGTGAGAGATAGAACCTAGATGGAGCATTTATAGCAAGTGAGATAATACGTGCTAGACATCAACCGAAAAGGCTGGACGGATTCTCAAATTGGATTAGGAGAAGACCTACGATCACATAGACACGAACCTTCTCGATCAAGACAACAAGGCTTTCAGCTACTTCCCGTCATCTAGAGAGCTCCGTCAAGGAAACCCTTTATCATCTTGACTTTTTACCATCATGGGTGACGACTTTCAGTGAATCCATCACTTTGTATTACAACCAATAACTCCTCTAAGGGTTTCAGGCAAGTAGAAGGGTCCAGAAAATGTCCCAACTGCAATATGTCAACCATAAGCTTGTATTTGTTGTCATGGACTCACAGCAGGTAGATAAATTGTGGCTTTTCTTGAGATTGTGTGAAGTGTCCAATGGGTCTAAAATCAACATGGAAAAGACCAAACCGGTAGGGGTTACACAAGACCGAGAGACAGAGCTACCCGGGAGGCTTGGTAGTGTTAACAACAACCTACCCAGCAAGTACCTTAGCTTCCGTTTGTGCATTGGTACACCACGTAAAGAATGTTTAATAGAAGACTTGCTGACCGGAAAACAAGACTCATATCCCTCCATGGAAGGATCGCTTTAATAATTTAATTAAAGCAACCTAGGCATGCATGCCTGTATTCCACATGCTGCTATTCCGAATGCTGACTTCAGAGGCCAACTGCCTACAAAGGCTAATGCAGGACTTCTTGTGGTCCTGCACAGGTGACAGCTACAAGTTCCACTTGGTCAAGTCAAGAGGGACCAAGTGCGCATGTCCAAAAAAAAGGGGGCCTCTGCATAAGAAGGCTAGAAAAGATCAATAGTAATACTGCCATATTGGGCAAGTGTTGATGGTGCTTTGCCACACATGAAAATCATCTTTGGTAGCCAGTGATTCTCAATACGTAGCTCGGAAAATTCAGAATTGTTCCTAAGAGTATATGAGGTGACAGATCATCGAGAGCTGGAGGGCATTCACTTCGCGCTCACTGATTTTGATCAAACATCAGGTACATAGTGTGAAATGGAGATAGAGTCAGCATTTGGAAAGCCCTATGGTTAGGGAGATCTACTCTAGAGTCACGGTACCCAAGACTATACTCAGTGACCCTAGACTAGGAAGCCCCAGTTTACCAATCCTATGAAATCAGGGGAACGATTAGTTTGGGCCCATAAATTTAGGAGAGACCTTGCAGATGAAGAGATTCAAGACTTGGCTTCACTATCAGAGGCTATAAACTCCACCTATAAACTCCGTATAAGCAGGGACAAGATGATTAAATCATCTCCACCAGAAAGTATCATTACCATGGCTTCCTTCTACGCCTCACTAAGCCATTCTAATGTGAACGCCAGGCAGATAACCAGCATGCTTGGCTTTCTTAATTAACATAGAAGGAGCAGGCCTTTAATTGGGTGGTCCTCTCCAACAAGGTCCTGATTTGTGATCATTTACAGCATCAAGGTCCCTCTACCCAACTGGTGTGTCATGTGCAAGGGAGAGAATGCAAACATAGACAACTTTTCCTACATTATACTGATGCCAAAAAGATACAGTCCTCAATACTCAATTGCTTTGGGTGGGCTTGTGTCATGCCAAAATCGGTCCAACACTGTGCCTTTCTCTCCCCTCCCTATACTGTTGCGAACCTCTTCGTATGAAGGGCAGCAGTGAGGGCAACTATATGGTGTAATTGGATAAACCATGGCAGCTAAATCTTCAAAAGCCAAAAGGCCTGATTTGATAATGCAGTAGATCAGATTGTGGACAAGGTAATACTTTTAGGCGAGAAATCTAGAAATCCTCAAAGAGTATTATATGTATGACTATTTGAGGAACTGGACAGAACTTTTACAATTCATACCCAGGCAAATGAGTCGGGCAGGCCAGCGGTAACCTCCCCGAGCCAGGTACCATCAAGATCAAGCTGGCCCAATTAATATTTCTGATTTCACCACCGCAGAGACTTGCACACTGTTACAAGGCCCAAAACTGGTTGACAGCAGTTGGGGGGGGATCCTCTTGTAAATCAAACAGCATTTCCAAAATGTCATCTCTTGGGCTTCGAATCTGACCTTAGTGCCTTAGCTCATTCTGTCCCTTCTCGATCAAATATCAGCTATGACCAGTGGGAGGAATTGCATACCTAAGCATGTGCTATTATCGCAGAGGTGATGCAAAGCAGAGTGCGGTTAGTGCATAATTCAGGGTTCATGGACCCAACCGGCAACCTACTACTTCACCTGTTATTCTGATCCTGCCCTATGTCCCCTTCCTAACTCTTTCTCTCGAGATAACCCCACCTCTAGAACGCAATCAGCCATGCAAAGAGGAATGTGATGAAAGAATACAAATATACAGCAGGAATTTTTAGCCCATTTTCGTACATATAGGAACATTTTGAAATTTCACATCATTATGGTCAACAAATTCAGGAAAAAGGGGTACGTGCAAAACAGCATAGGTGTCCCTTATATGTTTCTGTGAGCATACAGAAGGACTCAATTACACATACAAATACTTAAAAATACAAAAAATCCACACTTAAATATATGTACGTACATATAAAACATTCATGCATACATACATATGTACACACATACCATATATTTATGGATATGACACAAAGAGAAATAATTTCATGTACAAATATATGGGAAATGATAGTGTATGATCTGGATAATAAAAGCAAATGGAAAAAAATGCATTTTATCAAGGGTGCAGTTGGCATACGGATGCATCCGTAGTTGTAGAGGTAAGGTGCACCTTCAAATTTATCATGGTATATAATTGTGATGCAAAATGTTGTTAGGATTATCTCAAAATCTATTTTTATATCTAATTGTAAAATTTTAAATTTCAAAAATGGTTAAAATCATGTAGATCTATAAACATATGAAAATCTTGAAAATGGACGGTGTAGATAAATGTTGTAAAATGCACTATTTCTGAGACTTAAAATCTTTGTATTTTTCATAGTCATACATCTTGATGTCGAGATGATCAAACAAAGGGTTTTTCAACATTAAAACTACCTTTTCCGATGGATTTTTGAGGGGCATCCGTAGTTGTACATTATAAGGTAGCATCCTTATATAAACTTTTTCCTTTTATTAAAGCAACTATCAAGACAATTACTTTTCTCATTTAATTCAAAATAAAAACTACAAATATCAACCAAAGAATACCTCATCAGCCACTTTCTGCAATCTCCTGCCCTTCAATGTGACCTCCTGATGCTAATTCCTCTTCTTCTAATTCTTTGACTGCTGAGATCAAACTACGTGTGATCGCATTAGGATACAACCCTGCTTTAGTCATCTCTTCTAACAATTTCTGTGCAGTTCGCCAATCTAAAGCGTTAAGACACAGGGACTGAATCAACTTATTATACTCATCGACATTTGGGTGCACCCCATTTTCTTTCATCTCATCGAGAAAAGAAATAGCCTTCTCAAAATCCCCATCATTACAATATGCCCGTATAAGTATATGGTAAGTAACAGGAGTCAAAACAGAGTGTCTTTTCTTAGCTTCATTGAGCAAATTACAGGCATCGTCCAACCTCCCACTCCTAACTAGACTGCTCATAATCACACTGTAACTGTAAACATCAGGCCTAAGCCCCCTGTTTTCTATAAGATTCAGTAGCTCTATGGCTTCATCTGGCTTTCCTGATTTTGAATACCCGTTTATAATGAAATTAAACACTGCATTTCCAGGCGGTGGCCCCCCATCTATCATATTGAATAACAAAATCTTTGCATTTTCCATGTCGCCAATCCTACACAACCCTCGAACTACTGAAGAAAAGGGTTTAATGGCCTTTTTACGCACTTCTATGGGGTAGTCTTCTAATATTTCAGAAGCTAAATTCACTGTTTCATTGACTTTGCTAAGAGAACTTATCAGAAAGTGCACAGAAGAAATAGGAGGGAACTCTTTCTTTTCCTTTGACATCAAATAAATCAAGTGGGCATCTTTAGCCCTCTCCCCTTTACAAAAACAAGCCATTAACTTTCCAAGCTTTGCACTACTTGGTAAGTAGCCTGAATTAAGCATTTCTTCACAAATAGACCAAGCATCATCAAACATGCGTCTACAACAAAGCAATTCTATAGTAGAAAAATACGAATCTGCATTATAACCGCATCCAAAATCCCGAAACTTTTTGAACACTTCCAAGCCAGCCTTAGCTTTGCCCAGAGCTCTAAAGAAGCAGATGAGTTCATTGAGAATTTCAGTGTTTACCAGTTTCTGGTCCTTTTCTGCAATTTCCTTGATAAAATTCCATAACGAATGTGCATCTCTTTCCCTTCGCTTTTGACTGATATTTTGAACCAGTGAATTCATAACCCTGATACTTGGTGAGAAATCAGACTGCTTGTTAGCCCATTTGAAAAACCCAATCAAATTCTCACCCAAAACATGAGGATCACCTATTACTATAGCAACAAATTTGTCACTAAGTGTGAGATTCATCTCATCTAGTTTTGACTCCAAAGACCCTTCTAAGCTACTCTGAAGAACTGAAAGCACACTCTGAAGCTCCTCCGTATTGATATCTATACTATCTCGGGTTTCAACTTTTGATTCAAAATCAGGGTTAGGATTTTCATCATCAGCCGCCAAGGCATCATCAACATGGGATTCTTCTGAGAAAGAATCAGTCCTACCGGGATTTTCATCACCACATGATTCTTCTGGAAAAAATCCACCAACTTTTGGACTTTCATCATCACTATTTTCAATGCTGATGCCATGGAATCCTTCCGAGAAAAATCTAGGGCTTCCATGGCCGTCATTGCCATTTTTACTGGTTTCACCATTAAAGCTACTGCCATCTGATACATTTGAAGAAAAACTAGGGTTTCCGCCATCATAACTACTGGTTTCAGCAACACTATGAGATTCTCTTGACATGAAACTAGGATTTCCATGATTTTTTCTATGATTTGTATATACCTCAAGGCATGACGATAATGCAGAGGTAGATGCTAGGGTTTTGGGGTTTGCCCTGTTGAGCCATTGGCTTCTAATGGAAGAAGCTCTGAGAAGGCTGTATCTCCACATACCTCGATGATTTTAGAGAGAGAGTGAGCGAGACACCTGCACTGGTTCGACGATTTTATTTTAGAGAGAGAGAGAGAGTGAGCGAGACACCTGCACTGGTTCGACGATTTTATTTTAGAGAGAGAGAGACGTGCGCGGCTTTGACGATTTTAGAGAGGGAAATTGATTTGATAAGGCGGCAGCCTTATCAAAATAAGTAAATAACTAAAGAAAAGTTTATATAGAGCCGAAGCTCTAAAGTCTAAACAAACAAATTTGAGCCTATTTCAAAAATTTCACTAGGTTATTTTGATGCTCAAATATCTTCAAATTTATCATCTCGATATCAAGATGCATGGACAAGAGAAAAAAAAAAGATTACAAATTTTGAAAATAGTGTATTTTATAATGTATTTTTGGACCGTCAATTTTCAAGATTTTCAAGTTTCCATAGACAAGACAAGTCTAGTCGATCTACACTGTTTTTAAAGCTTTAAATCTTATAAATAAATATAAAACTATATTTAAGGTTATCACAAAGATTTCCAATATTGGAACCACATTTTTCGATACTATTTGAAGGAAGGCTCTAATTTGATTGTTTAGAGCCCAGGCTCAAGCGTTAGAAATTGGACGACGATAGCATGCGGCCAGGCCGCATATTGTAGAAATGCGGGCTCCACAATAAATATATTTTTTAAAAAAATTTGTTTCATGCGGACTGGACCGCATTTCCACATATGCTGTCCAAAAAGTGTAATGCATCCTTATTAAAGATGGATGCAAGCAGGTGTTCCATGTAAAAACAATAAAACTAATGGTTTAAATATTTTTTTACTAGAATTATTATTTTTAGTTTTAAAATTTTATTTATTTATTTCATATTCATGATTTCTATGTTAGAGATTATATGTCCTTAAATATTAAACCTTAAAATCCATCTTAAAAAAGGATTTATTAATAGGCTTGCATTTTTACATTTATTGGCTTGGCCGCATAGTAACCAAGTCCATTTTTTAAAGATAATTTGATCTTAATTTTTAGAGTATATGTAATCTTTAACATGGAGATAATGAATATGAATAAATAAATAAATTTTGAAAATTAGAAATAATGATTATATTGAAGAATAAAATATTTAGACAGTTAGTTACAATTGTTTTTAGATAGATCGCCTATTTGCATCCATCCTCTGGATGGCATATTGTAGAAATGCGGTCGACACATGAAACAATTGTTCTTAGAAAAATTTTATTTCAATCGTCTTGGTTGAACATTATGGTTGTAAAAAAAAAAAGATTTTAAATTCTAAAAATATGGTTATCAAAAATTATCTAGACCATCAAATTCGCCTTAAAAATAAGTGTTCATAGATCCGTAAGATCTGTACTACTTTTTTAGTTTTAAATTTCATTCTTGGTGTTGAAAATTGTGCTAAAGCCATCATGGAGATTTCCGTTATCGAAAATGCTTTGTGGACGAGGATTTGAGGTGAGGGTTTATTTTGTTTTCATAAAACATAGGCCTTATACAAAAATCATCTTTTATTAAAAACCGACATTTCTTTGTCGTCTCGAGACACCATTCTCCCGGGGAGCGTTAATTTTAATTTTAATTTTAATTTTTTTCTTTTTTAAAACAGTTTCTTAGGCCCGCAACTTATCAAAATAAATAAATCATCACCTCATTACTCATTAAAAATTGCAATTCAAGCATTGAAAAACCTTTACATCGATTATCTTGTAAAAAAAGCCTCACCAAACACGGGCTTCAAAAAATAGAAGAATGAATAGATCACCAAATAAACACCTAAAATTTCACCTAAAATTGTGGTTGATCCATAACCAGAAAAACTAGGTGGTCTTAACCCTAAAATTTCACGTAAAATTGTCGTTGATCCATAACCCGAAAAACTAGGTGGTCTTAACCCAAAACTAGTTTTCAAAATATATGGGTCTTAACCAGTCTAGGTCGGTCAAGCAAGGCAATGGTCTTAATAACTATGGTGTATGCACGCAAAGACGACTTAAACTCACATGATTTATCTCAATGCACATCCAATATGAAACACTTATATAATATTTAGAGCAAATTACATACGGATACCATGGTCATTACAAAATAGAACGTCATTTGTCCGAAAATACGAACACCACCATACGCTCCTTTTCCTGTGACATTTTTTTTTCCCGACAATACAAATACAGAAAACGAGATATTTTTTTTAAATCTTTCCCATGTTATCCGGTATTCTTAATACCAGATAGCTAACTGCTATCCCCAAAATTAACGAGCCGTCCATAGCACCAACTTGGCAATGCCCCACTTAGAGTCGAGAGTGAACGATCCGCCCGCATACACGAGTTTTGAAACACCAAAAAACACAACGACACGATGTGGAAGCCACTGACCCGATTATGCAAGGAAATAATTATGTAAGTGTCAAAAGGCCAAAAATGAAATCAAGAGCTTTCCAATAAGGAAGATAATTTTAAATTTTTCACAAAAAAAGGGAAAGGGTTCTGATTTCAACAACATTCAGCATCTATTTAACCATAAACTCAAATATACATTTTAGTATATCCATAAAGGTCGACTCTACAGACAAAATCTCGTCTATAGATGAAATTCTCTGTTAAAAAAGATGAGCAGTAAGCTGAATAATAACGATGACATCTCTTGCACCAGCTTGACTCAGAACAATTTACACTGATCCGCTAAACATGTCTAGAGTTCCTTTCCCTCGATGAAAACATAACTCTGAGAAAATCTGGCACTTCCAGAACTGTTATAGACCACTCATCAGAGTGACGGGCCCCAAAAATACCTACCAGATTAAAGTTTGAGTGAGAGATACCTAAAAAGAACAATTGGAGAGACCTGCCTCATTAAACTGAGGGAGATAGATTTTAAATCTACAAGTCCCTCTCCATTGTGAAACAGATGGATGAGAGAGAGAGAGAGAGGACTGACGATCAAATGTAATTTGAGGGGAGATACAATACAAGCGTGCAGGTTTACAAAGAGCATGGCATCAGTATTCCAACCGAGAGCATCAATCGGTTCTGTCCCTCTCACACACAAAAAATCTCCCAAATTAAAAAACACAATGAACCCCAGCAAAGAAAACCAGAAAGCAGAGGCAGAGAAAACAAGAATGAGGTAGACCATCGCAACACAACCAGAGATATGAATCCAAAACTCTTCTTGGTCAAAAAGAAAGGAGCGAGAGAGAGAACCTCATCTTTCAGTTTTCTATACTCCATGAAGAGCTCAAAGAAACACAAAGTGCAACTCTACAACGAGAGAGGGAAGCATCTCGATAATTATTCTTCTCTCCTAACAGATACCCGTCCGGTATTGGAATGCCGGACAGCATGGGATAAATTTAAAAAAAAAAACCATGTCCCATGTTTGTATTGCCAGACGGAGGGGCAACTTAGGAGAAAAAAACATTGCGGGAAAAAGATGGTGCTCGTAATTTCAAACAAATAGCATCCCATTTGGTAATTGGCCCCCTTCAAAAGTGTGCGTATGTAATTTGCTCTAATATTTATGATTCCATCAAATTTCTAAGAACTAGCCAAACAAATATATTTCACATAATAAGGCCACCATGTTTCGCAAAGGAAAAGAACAATATAGTTTAGAAGCCACTTCAAAAATTTGTTTGGTTATGGGATTTAAAGATTATGTTTTTTTTTTGAGAACATTTATGGGATTTGAAGATTTAAAAACCACATATAAAAAATTTGTTTTCCTATTGGATTTCAAGTTTGGGACATTGGGCTGCAAGCATCAAAACAGTTACCAATCAAAGCCAATGCTGAAACAACAAAACATATGGTTCAGAAAAGCTTATCTCTTAAACCATTCCAACTTAACCTTTACTAGAAACCAGAAAGGAACAGAAACAAACATGCCTCTATGTTGCACCTGAAATTCCTATGCTCAAACTTGGCTATCAAATATTAGGGTTCCATCTCATGGCCAAGGCCTCAACACTCCAAAATTATGATAATTCAGCGAAAATGTTGAGTTTCTTTTGGGTAGAAGCTACCTCATTCCACATTAAAGAGAATCCCGAGTTACACAAGTTATTGATCTTTTATATTTCAAAAAAGAATATTTAACAAAAGCCGAGAGGAAATCCAATATGCAAGAAGCCAACATTATTCTCAAGTAGTACTAAATAATCATTTTCCAGTTTTTGCAACAAAATAAATGACGCACATTTTATTCCATGGTTTTAGGGACAACAAATTGTGTTCTACAGGGCTGAGCTTGCCCTTCCAGAGCACGTTCAAAAAAGCCATTGAAAAAATAGGCACATCCATGGCAGTTTTAAAAAAAACAAATAACTTACGAAGTTATATTTATATATGGAACCAAAACCAGATATTATCAAAGACACAACATGATGAATGCAAAAAGCTTACATATTACTAGAAAAAACACAATCAAGCCTGCAAAAAGCTTGCATACTTAGCCCCGAGGAAGAGCCTTTGAATGCACAGAAGAGCATTCTTTGTTACCTCAGGGTTCTCATGGTTCATAAGCTTCATGACGCGGTCCTTTGCCTTTAGGTCCGAGAGTATGCCCCTTCCAGCTGGATGGTATTGAATGAATTGAGACAAGTCATAACAGGCGACAGCTAGTGCCCTTGGGTCAGTAGATGTGTCAAGAATTGTAAGCAACACACGAACAATCTGTGAAAATACCAATGTAAATTTCAATATTCAAAAAATTCTCTCAGAAAACTTGCACATGCAACTAAGTGGTTTACAAACATTGAATCTAATCAGAGGGCTTTTGACAAAGAATCCACAGTTTTTAAGCACAGAGAAGTATTTCCAAAGTTCTCAAAATCTCTACTAGGAAAAAGAAAGAGTACACTCCATGTTGGGTTTAAATTTGACTCGTGATATACTAATCTAGATAATGACCGAAGCCCTCAGCTCAAGTCAAATTCTGGAATGGCCATGGTAAACTCCAATAAAAGCTCCGTTTTATTTTTCCAGTGGATAGGTCCGATACATGCTCTATGAAAGTTTGGGTGGATACTTCTACCACTTTCTTAGCCAAAACACAAAATCTTTTGAAGAAGTGACTCAGACCCTTCTCAGTACAAAGATCATGCCACTAGCACAACCACCTTCTTTGTTTGTTCATTCAAATTTTGACAAGAAAGCACATCGTTATTCAATTTATTACAATAAAATCTAAAAAAAGAATTGCACAGCTGAAATTTCTCATGGTATGCACTTTTTTCTTTTAGTTTACTTTATTCTCATTGCATGTTTCCACTTTTCTTTGTTTAATATGTTAATTTTTCTAGGAGTAAGAGAAGAGATTACACATCACCAAAAATAGGCTTCCCACATGCCTGGAACTCTATACAAAAAATAGGCCTCCCGCTGAGAGGGAGCTCTTTACAAAAAGAAGAAAGGCTACCCAAAGACAGGTAGCACTGTACAAAAACCCACCTAGGGCTGAACTTATTTCTCTCATAGGTTGCTCTTCTTAGCATTGTTTTCATGAATTGCAGTATTACAAAAAAACAGACACAAGACACCGACAAATTTTAAAACCAATAGGAGATGGGGAAATATAATCTTTTCATCATTACAGTTCAAATAAACTTCAATGTTAGAACATCATTCTAAAATCAACAGTAGTTTTCGTCAAATTCCTTAGATTTAAAATGACCCTTTTCAAAACATAGGGCTAAGTTCCACAAAGTTTAAAGCTAGGAATAGATTGAATTAGGATGACCAGCACACCCAGACTTTCAGACAAGGACATGCGGGATAACACCTAGGTTTTCCAGAAGTACCCCACAAGCCTAGGTTTTAATTAAAAAGAAAAAAGCAAGAAGGAGAAAGTAAAGGCAACGACCGAAAAGAGAAATAACCCAAAGTAAGTAGTACCCCACCTTACAAACTCACACCCTCTGAATGACAAATAATTTTACATTCACTTTTCCCCCCTGCACTGAGTTAAAGTGATGAACAGAAAATCCTGCAACGCATCACCAAGGATGAAAACCATACCTGAAAATCATTCTCCTCAAAGTTTTTAATATTCTCACGCCAAAATACTGGGTCTCTGTGCATTGGTGACCAGTCAAGATGGCCGAGAAGTACTTCCTGTTTGTACTTGTCAAAAGAGCTCATTTTCTTGATATTATCTTTCAACCCCTCCTCTAGTTGATTAAGGGCATCCAAAAGATCCTAGAAAACAGAATTAGCAGAAAAAATTTAAGAATAAAGGTGCTGAAATACTACATAGAGTTTCCAAAACCATGGTTCTACATCTATATTACAAAGGGATAATAAATAGTGGTGTGAAAATTGAATTTCCCTCCATGACTCCTTCCCCAGGACAATTTTCCTAACACCTATCTCCAAGGGAATAAGTTCATAATTCCTAGATCATCTCTCTCCTCTCATGTTCTATTCTCAATCTCTATTTAGCACATACACGTTACTCTTTAAATTATGGGAAAAATAATGGGTCAAGGTAGTATTGATCTTGATCCTTTTTGCGAAAGCATATTACCAATTGAATCTTTTTTTTGACACCAATATAAAATGTCCCTTTCTTTATTTAAGGGTTTGTGTCATCATTAAGAACAAAATGATAGAAGATGTCATCAAGAGCTAAGCCCAACATTTTCTTGTTACCTCATCACTCCATGCTTGCGCTTTCAATATCTGAACTATTTGGGGAAGACCAAGATCAACCATTTGTGCCCCAAATGTCCCCTTTGGAAGCAAGTTTTTGAGGGTTAAGACAACAACCCTGACAACCTGAGACAAAAGCACAAATCCAAAAAACCCATACAATTAAAGTTAAATTCTTATAGGAGGTGGAGTTTGATGAGATATGCAGTCATACCTTCTCCTTAGTGGAAGTTTTGACAACTTCTATTAAGCGTGGCAGGGTACGAGTGGTGGCCAGATATTCCACAGCCGGCTCAAAGTATGACAACAGCCATATACAAAGGCATGTCTCGTAGAGCAGCTGCAAAACTGAATCCATCATCAGTAGAAAGAATATTCACAGATAGCTATAAAAGGCGGTAATTACAAGTAAAGAGACCAAGAACACATAAAAGAAAAAAGGTAAAGTCGTTTGTGAGTCAAGGGACACATGCATCACCTGACCCACTGAGGTCCATCTTAAGATGGACGTTAAAAGAAAAAAGGCACCCAAATAAAAGATGCAAAAAAATTTCAAAAAAATGACCTTTCAAATTTATTATTATTATTATTTTCATATTCAAGATCATCATGGCTTAGATTATGAATCTCTTAAAAATTCAGATTTAAAATCTATCTTCAAGATGGAATTTAGAGTGGGGACACACATGCACGTGAGTCTGGGGACTCATAGAAACCCCATCCCAAAAAAAAATATTTTAAACAAACAAACAACAGATCATGTCACCTGGATAGATTGCTGGGTTGATGCAGGAGAAATCAAAGGAGCGAGTAATTTCACACCATCTGCTTTTACAAACGACGATCTAACTAAGGGTTCCCTGAGCAAAGTTGCAAGGCAACTGACAGCTGTTGGAACCCCGCGATTGGGATGAGAAGGTTTCTTCAACTGCATTTAACATTTCCCAGTAGAAACACAAATTAGGCCAAACAAGTAGAAAAAATTACTACTTACTATAGTTCCCTCGGAGAACCATTAATCTAAGAGCATCTTTATCCATTTGCTCCCTTGATTCAGCAAAAGAGTTTCTAAGTTGAAGAAGCAACTATTATGATTAGGTGCCAGAAATTCCTAGACCATCAAAATTTATGTCAACTACCTCACGTCTTGGAGTCTCAGAATAACTACAACAGCTCTCAAATAATAATAAGCAATGAAATTAGAGTATGCTGAACTGGAAAAATCAGAGGTCCCATGTGATCCATGTCCACCAAAACAAGGAGAAGGAGTCACTAGAATACAACATAAATTGCTTCTTGTTGCCGCAATATGTAAATTGTAAGCTTTTGTGGGATTTGTTCAAGAAAAGGCTCTTTGAATTTACTTCATAATGTGAGAAGCTGTTTTCGCAACATGGTCAATCTTTCTTCTTTTTTCTTGTTCTTTTTTTTGGTTGTTGCATTACCTTTTTTGAGTTAGTAAGTTCAGATATTTGAAACCTAGACTTCTCAACTACGATCCATAAAATGACTCCCACATCAAAGAAGAATCAAACAAGAGAAGGCTGACCTGAGCACAGAGCCACTCTACTAAGCCCTTCAGTACATCATCAATTGTAGTGAACTTTTTTTTTGAGGATTCTCCATTTGGAAGAATACCTTGGGACTTTGGCCTGGCACTGTGTACCCAACATAAGCATAAGGAAAAAAGTCTCAATACAAAATTTCCAGGAATTTCCAAGTAAATGCACGGAGACTTGGGATCTTAATACCATATTATTAAAGCCAGTATTTTGCAGCTTTTCTCTTGTATAAACCAGTTTCCTTTCCAAAGCAACCTGAAAACAATGATAATGTCTTGTGAGGAAATCTTTACCATATTGTATGATCCAAGGGAACATATCACACTTATGATTTCTATTTTACATTATTAAACATATTATAGATAAATGTGGGAGACCAAAAGACTTAAGGACCTGCAATTACAGTCTTGATTTTGCACTCATGAAAGAAAAAGAAAAGCCAATCATTTTCCAAATGCCATAAGAAACCCCTTATTTGGGGAAAAAGCATTATTATTGACCATGACGTTTGCATTTATTCAGATATCAATAGTGTGCAGTTCATTCAGATGTCTGAAAGTTCCAGAGCAGAAATAATTAACATAGTAGCATTGCTACTAGTATGAGCATAATATAATTGTAAAAGAAAAAAAAAACTAATATTAGAACCCATGTGATAATAAACAACAAAGACAACAATATTTTTATATCGTAAGAGCCTTCTTATGTAAATGTTTAGCAACAGCAACGAGCCTTCTCATGGAAAACAAATCAACATGTTTTCACTATTTATGTACAAGGTTGCAGTTGCGATATGATATTAACCTACACTCCGTTCTAATTGTCTTCTCAGAGATTCACACAACAATCCCAGCCTTCGATTTTCTTTTTTATTTTTAAGTTTTTTAATGATAATCCCATCCCTTGATTTTATGTAAGAGAAAGTTGCGGTTAAGCGAAAACCCTACGTAGAAGGAGAAGGAATGAGAAGTTTCACGATATTTTTCCCCCAATTGCATGGAAGAATGGCCACTTGAAAAACCTATAACCAATCACAGCCTTCCATTATCTCTTTTGAATTGGTACCCTTTATATCTATAAATCCAATCCCACAAGAAAAGTTATTCTTCATCTTTTTAAAAACTATCTCTGTTTTTCCTCTTTATGAAAATCCATTCACATAGACTCCTCAAATAAACAAAATCTAGCAAAAAAGTTTCCATTATCTCTTTTGAATTGCTGCCCTTTATTTCTATAAACCCTAAATCCCACAAGAAAAGTTTCCATTCATCTTTTTTAAAACTATCACTCTTTTTACTCCTTTATGGAAATCCATTCGCAGACTTCCAAAGGAGACATATTAGGCAAAAAAGGGATTTATTACACTCCCTCCCTCCCTCCTTTCTTGCATAGCATGGACCGTGGACCAGTGCAGCAAATTTCCAAAACCTAAGTAAGAAAGTACTCTATTGTAAAAGCAGCAATAACAAGATAATAAAAGTAATAACGAACTAAACAGCCATTTTTTGTTCATATCAGATAGTGTGACATGGGAAAGGAACTTAACTTAAGAAAGGCTCGTAAATATCCTCATTTGCAAGGGAAGGATCATGAAAAAGCCTTGCACGTTTAGGATTAGCTGCAAGAAGAGAGAGAGAGAGAGATAGAGAGAGAGAGAGAGAGAGAGAACAATATAAGGAAAATATGAGGCAGAACAGGCAGTTGAAAAAAGAGCTCTAGCTTGTGTTACCTGTCAACATTTCATCAATAAGAGCAAGGACATATTCTACTGTTTCCTCCTTGGTGATGTCGCGCAAAATGCTAACAAATACCCTTACATAGGCTGGTCCATCCTGTCCCAGTTCACACCATTCAGCATTTTCATAATAGAGATACTTTTATAATTAACTAGTATTGCTAAAGAAATGACAAGAATCTCCTGCATTGATGCCCCATAACCGATTGCTAGGAAAAACATTGACTATTTCATTGACATTGTAATACACTTTCTGAGATGGATATCTAGAAAGCTACAGACATATTCATTAGGTATAAGATATTCAGAGGCTATATAGGAGGAATGTAAATTTAAGATCGGAAGTAGGTGGACTTGTTAAATAGGAAAAAAAATGTGGCCATGGGAAAAGATATGGTCCAATAAGCGGTGGGAAAATAAGTGACGTATCCAAGATCCCAAACAAAGCCAATCCTAGAATATCAAACTTTGAGATTTCCAATTTTTGATTCATAAGTTCCAGATAATAATGAAACTATCTTTTAACCAAGAAATAATGTATCATACACAAAGTGAGAAAACTGACTTGAAATGCACATTTTAAGAATACAACTAATTCCTTCACAAAATTCAGGCAGCAGGATGTACGATGTTTGGTAGGAAAGCTGGTAAGTCTAAATTCTTAGAGGCATGATGAAGGAGTAACATTCAATCATAACCATTTGAAACAAAAAGACGCCATAATTACATCACAAAAAAGGCATAAAAGAAACCAATATTAAGGCACAGTGTGAAATAGAAAAACATACGAAAGATGACCAGGAAATATCAAATTTAACCACATAACATCCAGAAAAAGCAAACAAGATGACGAACAATGAAAGAACCTCACCCCAGCACAAAAGAATCCATATTGGAGTGCTAAGAAGTCATTACTTACATCATCAAGCAACTGTGCACAATAGCTCTCAGACCTCTTCTCATATCTTCTCAACAACTGAAGAGATGTTCCACTAATCAATTTGGTTGCCATGTAAGTTTCCCATGGAATGTCCCTTGTTAGAACCTTAGAACAAAATAACATGTTAGATGATCACCACCATACTTATGAATCACAATCAGTAGCCATCTAATATACCTTTCAAACTTCCATGCTTTACCATAGTACTATGATATGAGGTGAACTTAGTTTCTCAAGAGTAAGAGCCCCAGGTAACTGAAACATGTGATGTGCACTAGCCATAACAGCCTTCTGATTGGGTCTGAATATTCTCATCCAATAGATAAAAGAACCAAATCCAAGACACAATGAAATATGGTACACTAAGATTCCAAGCAGAATTGAACAGAATGAATCATATCATAATCATGACAGTGGGTGCACTACACATATCAACACTTAAAATCCATAGATAAAATCTAGAGAATGTCATCTGCACTCTGACGATGAGATCATGACTATAATATATTAAAGTAGTGGAGGCACGCGCATTGCACATAGCTTATGATGATATAAAATGAAAAAACAAATATTCGAAGAAAAAGTATACTATGATCCATATGATTGAGGTAATAATATGGTCATGTTACTTATCATACTTTAATCAAGCTTGGACAGTTATGGAGAGTCCAACCTACCCATGGAACTTCAATAACCCTTGTGTTCTTAGGACAATTAGTGTTAACTTGGGAACTGCTGGTGGTTGTAACTATAACCATATAGCTCATACAATATCTTTCCTTCGGTAATCAGGGTCAACATTGATTGTGCTATAAGCCTTTTCAGCTAGACAATCATATAGTATATCTTTGCATCTTTCAAACCTTTTTTTCCTTTTGACGACCATAATCACATTGAACCTCTATAAAACAAACTAAATATGACAGGGGACAACTGGATTGTTAAGGTGATCATGATTTCATCTCACCAATTCAGCAGCGTAATTAAATCTTAACATGTGTTCATCAATAAAAAATTAGGATATAAAACAAAAGATTATTACCATAGCTACGCATACAATTAATGCATGCCTCTCTCTCCAAACCCCCAAGGGAATAGAGAAATGTATTCAGCATCAGTTTTATGGGACTCGCCTAAGTCCTAAGTAAGTTGGCTCGCCCCTAGGGCGAGCCTGAGTTACCCCAAGTTTTGTGTACAACCCAGGGTACACTAAAAAATTAAAAAACATCCGAAAAATTGTAAAAAATATGGATTGTTCTATAAATATTTTATATATAATTTGGATGTTTTCGACAAAGATTGGTGAGCTTTTTTAGCATAATTTTGAATTTTATATTTCCTTTTTTGGATTTTTTAAATGGTCCCAAATATTTTTTTAATATATTTTTTCTGTACTTTTTTTAGCTTATTTTGAGTTTTTAAGGGCTTTTTTTATTTTATTTAACTTTTAGTAGCTTCTTTTTATTTTTTAAAAGTTTTTCTATTTTTTTAATTCATCTAGGGCTTTTGTCCCTGTAAAAGGCCCGGCCGAGTCCATTCGGACTCAGCAGAGTAACTCGTCTCAATCCTTCCTAATCATTGTCTAGCATTGTCATTTAAAGAAAAGATTAAAATTGCAATTTTTGTGTTTACTATCCATTTTTTAGCCAGAAGTTAATCCTAACCCAGCAAGATTGAACAATACAAATTCAATGAATTCTCTTAATTCGAGCATTGCATAAACAGATGAACACAAAAAAGGGGAAAAAAAAAACATTACTTCCTTAAATCCCATTCAATCCATTTTTAACATTCCAATCCAAGTACTGCATTACTATATCAACCCAAAGCCATCTAAAATGGGACCACAAAAGGGATAGAAAATTCAAATTAACAAAATAACAAATGAATCCCCCTAAAAGGTTCGTTACATATAACATTTCCATTAAAAAATTAAAATTCATTTTGAAGCTAACATCAAAAGCCTGTTACCTTCTCCGTAGTCAACTCGGCTTGATCCATCTCAACAAAACTTTCAATAAAGACACAGGGTATCCCTTAACAAATTCTATCACGAGCTAGCACATATCCAGTATTCCCAAGCTGAAAGCAAATACAATTCAAGAATGAGACAAAAATATCCAAATTATCTGCAGAATCACAACAAATATCACAATAAAAACTAAATCAAAGGAAACCCACAGTTTCAAAGTCACTAAAAACTGAATACTAAGCTGTAAATAAAATAAATGAAAAATTGTGAAACCGAGAGCAAATATCCAAATTATTGTCATAACTGCCACAAATCTGAGTAAAAAGTAAAAACAATACTAAATAAAAGAAAACCCAAATCCAAATCACTGAAAATCGAGGAATTTACAAGTGGGAAGATGGTGGAATTTATTAAGGAATCTCGAATGGAAAGCCACTGAAAATGGAAAAACAATAGCAGAAAGATCATAGAACAAGTAACGGGAGCAGTCTAGATCCGAAACAAAAGTTACTGAAAATGGAAAGAATTACCAGTTAGGGTTTTTGCTCGCTAAATCATGGATTCCTTCGAGCTCGACTAGCAGAACATAACCTTAAAATCCCAAACGAGAAAAAAGGAATAAAATTGCCGATCTCTATATATATATACATAGAGAGAGGGCCTGTATGGTGGGATGATTTTTTACTATGATCCGTACCTTCATGATAAAACCATGGTCACAAGGTATCACCAGCGTTCAATTGATATATTTACGGTGATTCAGGCAGAGTGTGTACAGCTAGGTATTGTGCATGTTTGGTGGGACCATTATCTCTCCATCACCGTCCAATAATTTATTGGAGGGAGATGATCACCGCCATTCTTTTTACCGCGTGACAATGCATTGTTTTTTATAAATAAATGTAAATTGATAATCTTTGCTCTTTCATTTGCCCTTGAACAAAGGGTTTTTCAAATAGGGAAAAGTTTATATAGCCCAGGCTTTAAACAATCAAATTAAAACTTAAGACAAATATTTTGCTAGAAGAGGTGATTTTGATGATGCTCAGATATCCTCAAAATGATCATCTCGATATCAATATGGATGGACATGAGAAAAAAATGGATTTTAAGTTTTCGAAATAATGTATTTTATAACGCATTGTTAGACCGTCAATTTTTAAGATTTTTAAATTTTCATAGAGCTGTCGATTTACATTATTTTTTAAGCTTTAAACATTGTAAATAAAAATATAAAAATTTTAAATAATCACAAAAATTTTCAATATTAAAACCACATTTATCGTCACTATTTGAAAATAGGTTTTCATTTTGATTGTTTAGAGCCTAGACCTTATACAAACTAGAAAGAGGGACTTGTCCTTTTAGGTAAATTAGGAGACGCAGAGCTGGCAAATACACGTGCCAGATTATGGCCCACTAAAATCGGGAGCGTTCCCATACACCAATGGTGTATGATATGTTATGTTTCATTGAGGGTCAACCGTCTGTTTCTTTGATGGACGGGAACAGGTTAACCACAATGCCAATGAAGAACTATTACTTAAGGAGCAGTGATTTAATGCAAAATGCAACGACCTTTAAGAACCATGTTATGGATGGTTTTCATCTTCACATCCCATCATCCAAACGGACGGCCTCTGTAGCCAGTTACATCATATGGAATAGTGTATATTACTTAAGGAGCAATGATTTCATGCGACAGTTGCTTCATAATATAATATAACAACCTTTAAAAACTATGTTATGAATGGTTTTCATCTTCACATTCCATCATCCAAATGGAAGTTAATCTCGATTATTGGATGTGAAATTTAAGTGAGGCAACAATAGTTGATAAGATGGGATATAGTAAACTTATATAAGATAAGATATAATAAACTTAGGTGAGCTATGTGTGGCGTAAAACCCGAATTATACATCTACATATATATTAAGAAGTACGAGTTAGTTCAAGCAGCAGGCTCAAAAAAGATAAAAGTAGACCTTAAATAATGTGGTTGGAAATAGTGAAAAAATATACGAGAATTTATAATAAATCGTAATTAATTAGAAAAAAGCTATTATGATGATGATTAGATGTGAAATTTGGTCGGAGCATTTACTAATCAAACTCAAAGTTTTTTAAAAAACTATCCAATTAAAGTGTACCTCCAAATTTTATCATAATATGTACTTTTGTTGTCAAAAATTCTTAGGATTATCTTAAAATATATTTTTATATCTAATTAGAAAATTTTAAATTGAAAAATTGCTTAAAATAAAGTAGATCTATAAATATGTGAAAATATTGAAAATGCACGGTCTAGAAAATATCTTGCAAGATGCACTATTTATGGGATTCAAAAAATAAATAAATTATATTTATACATATCGATGTCGAGATGATCAATTAGAAGGTTTTTCAAAATTAAAAGGTTTTTTAAAATTAAAACAATATTTTCGATAGATTTTTGAGGTGCATATGTGATCCTAAATTAAATTTTAAAGTTGCAACTTTATATAAACTTTTCCCTAAGACATATTCAAGATTGTGCCTCATCCCAATTAAATAGGGAGGTTAATACCGCTTTTGACTGATCAGATTAAGGGTAATTTCGGCCTTTTTACCAATTTTGACGGTTATGGGTTAGTAAACGATCAGTATTATTCCCGCCGTTAAAAGGACTATCTTCTCTCTCTAAAGCCTCTCTCTAGGAAGCCATCTCTTTGAATATATTCTCTCTAATATCTCTATAAAACTATCTTCCTCTCTCTAAAGTTAAACTCTCTTTCTCTCTCTAAAGTTTTTTTAAAGGCCGGTTGAATCCCTCTCTAAAGGGGAGAGGAGATAGCCATTCTCTGCAAATATGGGTTATTCTAATGGCTATCTTTCCCTCTTCTTTTGTATCCTTATGGTCATGGCTTCTGTCCAGTCCACAAGAGACCATCAAAGAGAGTTCGATTACTTTCTTTTGGCCCTCCAATGGCCTGGAACCATATGCCAGAGGACCCACCATTGCTGCTCTTCCAATGCCTGCTGCCGACGGTAAATTTGCTTGCTCATTTTACATTTAATTGCTCATTTTACATTTAATGTTATGAGAAGTGCTTTGCTTCTCCCTTAACTTTCCAAAGCTCAATTCTGATTCTTAGTTCCCATCCATTCCTTTTCAAAACCCAGTTCTATTTTTATCTACTTTAACAAATCCACTTTCCATTTACATATTGTGGGTTAATGTTTTTGCCAATTCAAGGTCATAATACAATCAAGGCTCTGATTGGGTAAATTTCTCTATGGAGCTCTTTGAACTTTATCAGTTTTTGGTTCCTTGACATTCCACGAAATAGGATCTTATTTATGTTGCAAATTTGGAGATTCTGGAATTGGTGATGTAGTATTGCTATTCAATAACCCTAACTTATCATTCTAGAAATTGCCAACTCCGATTTTGTAACATGTGTGAAAAGTGTATCATTTCTTCAGGCATAGCTTGTGGAAGATTAATGGGTCCTTTCCAAATATTTCCATAGTGATTGACATATGAGTTAAATGGTTCTTATAGGTTTTACTATATCTAAGCGTGTCACAAAAAATTATATTCCAAATTTTCTGATATAGGGTTGGAATAGTTCATTCATCCTACAAATGTTGGTTCCAGTGATACGACGATGAATTTTGTTGGCCCTTGTGTGAATGCTTAGTTGTCATAGGAATGTGTTATTCATGCACTCGGAGTCTCTCTTCCTTTACCATATCTATTTTATGTCGTGATCAAGAACCTATGAGTCAACCATAAAACAGCTAATTATTTTTCTTTGATAGTTCAACCATAAAAAGGATGATTCGGTCCTCGGTCCTTTTCTCTTCTCCTCGGTCCTTTTCTCTTCTTGATTGGTAGAGGAGACCAAAATGACCTTACCCAGATATACATTTCAGAGTGTTAAGTTGTTCAGATATTATGATTTACAAACCCAAAATTAGAAAATTAAGTTCCAACATACAGGAGTAGAAAAAAAGTAAAATCTGGCAGATGATTATTTTTATGGCCTCCCTCTCTAGAGATAGGTTCATTACCAGTGAATCTACAAAACTGAAAACTGTTTCCTTCATGGAAATATTAGAGATGTTTCCGTTCACAAAAAATTTAATGCCAACGCAAATAGTTCACTAAACTGCCAAGCAGCTAAAAAAAATATCACCAGGAAACTAAACAGTAATAACCAATGATTACTCTTTAACAATGGAATAGGCTTTGTTTTAGTGATGCAAATCGAATTAAAAAAAAATTCATTTATTTCAAACTTTATTTTATTTTTTTATTAGGAATTATGGAATTTGTTGACTTGAGATAGATTTGTATCATTATGGGATGTGAGTTATGAGATTTGTTGACTTAGAGGGGAAATCATTATTGGGATAAGAGTTAGTGGAATTTATTGAATTTGAGGGAAAACATTATTGATATGGGAGTTAATGGGATTTGTTGACTTAGAGGGGAAAGCACTTTTGGGATGGGAGTTACTGAGATTTGTTGACTTAAAGGGGAAAGCACTATTAGGATGTGAGTTAGCGGGTTTTGTTTGATTTAAGGGATTTGTATGGCTTATAGGTTTATGATGTACGAGAGTCAAAGATAGAGAGAATGTCTATGGGGCATTTATTAAAGAGATAGGCTTATGTTAGGGGGACTTGGTAATTTTTGTAGAGACTCTTTATGTTCATGAAAGAAGAAAGAGGTTCTTCTCATCCTTGGCTTGATTTACAGCCACCTATTTCCTCCATTTTTGTCGAGTTTTTACTTGTATCAAAAGAAGACCAAATTTAATTTTCTGGGCTCCTTTCGCATCAAGTGGTATTAGAACACGGTGCGAAAAGGTTTAGCAACTACGATGGCTAGTCATGGAGGTCGCAACTGTAGGAATGCTGAGCGGGACCAAACATACAAGAAAATCGATAACTTGACGGAGATGGTTGAAAAGTTGTAAAAGGAAAAATTGAGACAACACATATCAAACAAGATTAGATCTACAGTGTTGATCTATATTGTGCAAGTTGTTGTAGAGATCAGTGTAAATCAGAACGCGATCCTGAGCAGGAACGACCTGATGTTATGCTTGATCATACTTATGGCTTCGATGCACGACGACATCGACGAGAGCATGAACCCAAAGAAAAGTTGGGTAACCAACAACCCTTAAGCTGATGTGATTGGCGTAGGGGAGTAGGCTCAAATCAGATTATAGACAAGCAGAGAAAGAATTTTACCACATCCAAATCCACCCCTGGAGTAGGATCATCCTAGGCTAGGAGACCAATACCTCCAACCCGGGGAGTTGTTATCCCTTCAATAAAACTGCGACCTGAACATCACAGAAGTAAACAGACAAAGGTATGTGATATTCAGGTTACAGTGTTATTGTAGGAATAACAACTCCCCGGGTTGGAGGTATCAGTCTCCTGACCTAGGATGATCCTGCTCCAGGGGTAAATCTGAATGTGGTAAAATTCTTTCTCTATTTGTCTCTACATTGATTTGTTGATTTGAGTCTACTCCCCTATGCCAATCACATTGGCTTTGGGGTTGTTGGTTGCCCAACTTTTCTCTGCATTCATGCTCTTGTCACTGTTGTCGTGCATCAAACCCATAGGTGCAATCAAGCATAACATCAGGCCATTCCCACTCAGACTCACACTCTGATTTACGCCAATCTCCACAATAACTCACACAATATATAATCTAACACTGTAGATATCATCTTGTTCGATGTGTGTTATTGCAATCTTCCTTTTACAACAACTTTTCAACCATCTCCATCGAGTTGTCGATTTTCTTGTCTATTTGGTTCCGCTCGGCATTCCTATGGTTGCGACCTCCACGACTAGCCATTGTAGTTGCTAAACTTTTTCGAACCGTGCTCTGATACCACTTGATGCGAAAGGAATCCAGGAAATTACATCCAGCCTTCTTTCAATCTTAAACAATAAAAAACTCAGCAACAATGGAGGAAATAAATAGTTGTAAATCAAGTCAAAGATGAGAAGAAGCTTTTTCTTCTTTCATGAACATAAACTCTCTCTATAAAAATTACCAAGTCCCCCAAACATAAGCCTATCTCTTCAATATATGCCCCATAAACACTCTCTCTATATTTGACTCTCGTGCCCCATAAACCCATAAGTCAACAAATCTTACTAACTCACATCCCAAGAGTGATTTCCTCTCCAAGTCAACAAATCTTACTAACTCTCATCCCAATAATGCGTTCCCCTCTAAGTCAACAAATCCTACTAACTCCCATCCCAATAGTGTTTTCCCCTCCAAGTCAACAAATTCCCCTAACACCCATCCCAATAATGTTTTTCCCTCTAAGTCAACAAATCTTATTTAACTCTTATCTCAATAATGCTTTCTCCTCCAAGTCAACAATCATAACTCCCATCCCAAGAATGATGCAAATCTATCCAAGTCAACAAATCCCAAAACTTCTAATAAAATAGATAAAGTTTTAAATAAATCAATTTTTTTAATTCAAAAATTTGCGTCATTTAGGGTTCCCTTTATTAGTATGGCTGAATGCACACTAATGCATCATGGGATTCAATGTACCATGAATCCATACATATATATCTGAATGTTTTGATGTACGAAACGGATGATTTTAGGGACTAACATCATCTTGTATCATACTTCTTACACAAATAAGAGGTCAATTGTCTGACAACAGAGAGAGAGTTCCTCCTTTTATTTGAGTAACTGATTGTTCTTTTCATATCTTTAGTAAGTTGCTTGCGGCTATGGTGTAAGCCCCTACTAAGAGGGAACACATTAGCCATTGCATGCGACTGTTTGATGTCATTTTGTGTCAGCTGTCAAGTAGTTATTGGACTTCAATACCTGGTTAGTGTTCCTTGTGTTCAGCGTCTTGGCTTGATCTTCATCAAGAGTGCTTAGAGTTTGTGGCCCTTCACTTTATGGTCCCAAGCGTAGCTAGCAAATCCCTAACAGCGATAAATGTTTTTGCCACAAAATCAAAATTAATTTGGTCTGGTCCAAAGAGTAGTAAAATAGCCAAAAGTTAATAGAGTGCCAAAAAGACTTTAATGAAAAGGTGTGATTATTTGGATTTTCCTCAAACAATCAGATTTAAAAAGCAGCCATATATATGAGTATTTTTAGGTGAATTTATTTCGGGATGGTTACTGCAAGTAATATATTATAAGTAGAACAAAGAAGAATTTATTTTCATAATGTTGGTGGGCTATACTAGATCAGCAATAAGACCTTGTTGTTTTAACCAAATAAAACTCATTTTCTCAAGTGAAATTAACTAAGGTTAAAACGGCATCCCATATTCCATAACAGGGCTGTGATGATCAAATGCAAGACGAGCAAAATTTGGAGAGAGAGAGAGATAAATAGGTTGCATACTATGGGCCATGAGAGGTAGATACAGTTAACATGTGATATCTTTGAGGCAATTTTTTGGAAGTTTTCTTGGAAGTGTTTTATATAATGATGTAATATGGATATATCTTGTTTCCTTCAAAAAAATGAATGATTTTGTAGTGATTTTTAAAATCACACCTTTTTTAATGTTTCTTAAAAACAGTCATTTTTTAAAAAACAAGTAAATGGAGTATTGCTAACTATGGTCCTAAATTCTTGGTGCCTTTACCTTACTAAGTGACTTTATGAATAGATTATTGATCTTTTTACCATGACTTAGGCTTAAGGCATATTCTGGCTTTCTATAGGGTGTGTGGTATTTGCGATATTGCACCTGAACCATTTGGTAAAGGAATTTTTGTGGTTGGACTCATCCTTGATTCTCTCCTATTCATTTTTCTTTCCAGAATGGATGTGAATTGTGCAACATGCTCATGTTGCTTTTCTCTTCCTATAAAAATTTACTTAAACTTGCCTTTTATTTTTCTTGTTAAAACTCTAACTGATGTGGCACATGTTATTTATGGTTTTTTGCAGCTCTTCCAGCCCAACAGAGTTTACGATACGTAAGTTCGGCAGCTCTTTTCAAATTGACCCCTGTAGTCAAATGCTAAAATGGTTACTGGCAGGCTTTTCTTGTCTTTGACATGAACTAACCCATTAGCTAGATTAAGTCTGTCGTCTTTCATGAATGAAAGAGGTGCATATGATTTCTCAATATGGATATTGGTTTGACATGATATTTTTGCATTTTATCTATCAAATGGTCTTTCATATCTATTCTCTTCCGTAAATACCAAAACTTCCAATCAATCCATCTGCTAACTCTGTCATTTGGCCATCACTAAGCCAGGTATGATTAATTTGTGCATTCGGCTTTCAATTTAACATCTACATACATGGTCCTTTTTTGGTAATTGGTTCTTGGACTTGGTGATCTTCTCTCTTTTCCTATAACTAGTTCATGGCTAAGTTTTCATTCTTCTTGTCCTATTAACTGACTTTGGATAACAGTGCTTCTCTTTTTTGATAACTGGTTCTTTGATTATAGTTATCTATTTATCCTTCTTTTTTGGTGACTTGCTATTCATTTTTATTTTTATTTTTGTTGTAGTTAGGGCTAAGAATGTTTATTTGTGTATGCCATGGCTTAACAAAAATGTTGTTTCAGATGGATTATGGGTTGACTATAATGATGGAAGCTGGCCAGCTTGCTGCGGAAGATCTGATTTTGATGAAAATAAGGTTATTATAGGACAGCCCTGAGCTACACTCATGCATTTCTGATTTTATCCTCAATTCAGTTATGCTTTTAATTATTGTTTATTATGTCACTATTTATTGTAGATTACAGCTTTGATTGGAACTCTTGAAAAGTATTGGCCATCCTTGTACTGTGGCTCTTCATCTGTTTGCCATGGTGGAAAGGGATCAATCTGGGCACATGAGGTACATCTGGATAGATTTTCTTTATTATTCTGATGCCTTTTTTGTATAGTTTCTTTTTTTTTCTTTTTTTTTTAAGTGTTAAGAGTGGGAAAGGAGCCTGGGCCATTATGTTGTGATACCTGCCCCCCTAACCATCGACCGGTATAGTTTTCTTTCCACTTTATTAAAAATAAAATTTCAGTTGCATTCTGTACTTGAATTATGGTTCCTTTGCCTAACATTGCTTTTCTCTGATGTTGTTTTCATGGCTAACTCT